CCAATTAACCCCACTAACGGTGCGAAAATCAGCTGATTTTTTTTTTCGACCGAAAAAATCGGCCGATTTTCGACCTGTCTATGGCCTGCATAAGGGGAGGGAGGGGGGAGGACAACTTCCGCTTCCGATCGCCTAGGTGCAAATCCTTAATGGGGAGCGGGGGACCAGTCTTTAAAGTGGAACTTCCCCTTTTGGGTGTAGCTCTACTTTAAAGGATAAGTTCACCTTTTAGGAAAAAAATAAATAAATGCACATATTTATGCAGGAAAAGATGTATTATTTTCTTTTCCCCAAGAAGCATGGAAAGCATTGCACCCGTGGTCGGTGGTTCGGGGGTGCAATGCCAGACTCTTGCAGACAAGCCTTGCAGCTTTCAGCTCATCAGCGACCCCACAGTCTATTTAGAACTACAAATGGTCAGGCGCAAACGCTGGAGGTACTTGCAGTTCAAGTCATTCACAGGAAACTGTGAATGGACGATGCGGCCGTGTGGGTGGAGCCCAGTACGGCCGCCGCCTTATTTTAAAATAGTGATAACAGGTGCCAGGAGAAGATCCCGGCCCTAAATACGGGTGTAACATGTACCATTTTGCAGAAGGTGAACTTATCCTTTAACCACTTGCCTACAGGGCACTTATACTCCCTTCCTGCCCAGGCCAATTTCCAGCTTTCAGTGCTGTTGCACTTTGAATGAAAATTGCGCGGTCATGCATCACTGTACCTATATGAAATTTTTATAATTTTTTTCACACAAATAGAGCTTTTTTTGGTGGTATTTAATCACCACTGAGTTTTTTTATTTTTTGATAAATAAAACAAAAAAACGCCTGAAACTTTTGAAAAAAACACACTTTTCTTTGTTTCTGTTTTAATATTTTGCAAATAAATAACATTTCTTTATAAATTTAAGTCAAAATGTATTCTGCTACACTTGTTTGGTGAAAATAATAATAATGATTGAATTTGTATTTTTTTTTCAAATGTATCTATTATTTTTTATTACATTTTTTTTTTTTTTTACTATTTTCTTTTTTAGCACACTGTGACCAAAGCAATACAATGTTACCATAGTAGCATTGAACTACTCTGAGCAAGTGATCTGGATTTTTTTTTAACACATTATGATTGCTAATACCAATGTATTTAATTGCATATCATTTTTGTAATAATCAATTTTATTATAATCAATATAATAATTATATTATAGTATAATAAATATCAATATTTGCAATCATTGTTACTGAATGAAACTGATTCATTCATACTTTTATTGTGATTAGCTGTGATTGGTCAAAGCTGATCACATGATACAGATGGGCTGTGATTGGCCCTGTCTGTATCATGTGACTGCCTTGACTGGTCATAGCTAACAACATAATTGTATACAATGGATGGCATGACAGGAGGCCATTCATTGTATACTATTGACATGTGATCTGCTGTGATTGGTCACAGCGGTCACATGACACTGGCAACGGTCTATGTCTATGTAGTGATATGGACACAGCTGGTGATAGATTGCGCCGCATGACGCCCAGTCACAACGGCGAGTGTCCCGCCCGGCCGTCAATCTGCTATAGGCCGGGCGGGAATGTGTTGACTATAATTTTCTGTCCACTGACACCAATGTCGGGGCCTATTATTACGTCCATTTACACCAATGTTGGGGGTTATTATTGCGTCCACTGCAGGGGCGGACTGACAACTCATGGGGCCCCCGGGCAATAGGGGATCATGGGGCCCCTGTGTCCTTGCCCAAACTCAAAAAAGCCTATGAAAAAGGTACCAGGGGCATCTCATGGGGCCCCCTACTGACCCCGGGTCCTTAGGCAGTGCCCGAGTTTCCAAATGGTCAGTCCGCCCCTGGTCCACTGACACCAATTTTGGGGGTTATTTTACTCCAGCTGCAAAACATATAGCAGTACTGAACTTTTCAGACACAGGTGTGCATCATTGCCCATTTCATTTTGCATGGGCTGCCAAATCCCACCTCTGCATTTAAAAGCATTCACAGCACCAAAGATTTGGTGTTTTTGAATGTTTTCATTTTTTTTAATTAATTATATTGTTTTGTCAATAAAGTTTTATATGCATATATTATAATCTGTCTAATTGCCTACAAAGCCCCAAAACCAATCTTGTCTCCAAATATACCCAAACCGTCCGCCCGCTCCCCCCCCATGACTGCCTGCTCTCTAGCTCCCTTGTCTCCTCCTCCCATGCTTGTCTCCAGGACTTCTCCACAGCCTCTCCCCATCCCCTGGAACTTTCTACCCCAATCTATTCGACTCTCGCCTACTACTGCCCTCTTTTAGAAAACCTATCTCTTCAGGGAAGCCTATCCTGCCTTCAGCTAATAACCAAATCTTCTATTCCTCCTACCAGTCCATCCCGCACAGTTTTTACCTTTTGTTCCACTAGCCCCTCCTTCTTAGATTGTAAGCTCCCAGGATCAGGGCCCTCCTATCCCTCTTGTATTGAACTGTATTGTTGCTGTATTGTCTCCCATTATATTGTAAAGCGCTGAGCAAACTGTTGGCGCTATATAAATCCTGTATAGTAATAATAATGTTCTCGTTGGTATAAGCGCCCCATTTTAAGAGCTGTGTTTAGGAAGCCCAATGGAGGCCCAAATGAGCTGGGGGTACTTGACAGATGAGAATGTCAAGATACCCATAAGCAGGGGCTTGTTCTGGCCTTTTTTGTCCAGATGAGGTGACAATCTCACTTGGTTGAACGAACTGAAGGCTGGTGACATCACAGGTTGAGGCTTCTCGGGGAGGGGAGCAGACAGCTTAGATCACCTATTCTACTGATACTAGAGGTTATTATTGCGTCCACCGGCACCGCTGCTCAGAGTTATTATTGCATCCACTGACACCAATGTCGGGGTTATTTTTGCATCCACTGACTCCAATGTCAGGGTTTTTTGCGTCCACTGACACCAATGTCGAGGTTATTATTGCATCCACTGACTCCAATCTTGGGGCTATTATTGCGTCCAGTGACACCAATGTCAGGGTTATTATTGCACCTACTGACTCCAATCTTGAGGCTATTATTGCGTCCACTGACACCAATGTCGGGGTTATTATTGTGTCCACTGACACCAATGTCGGGTTATTATTGTGTCCACTGACACCAATGTCGGGTTATTATTGTCCACTGACTCCAATCTCGGGGCTTATTATTGCATCCACTGACGCCAATGTCAGGGTTATTATTGTGCATCCACTGACTCCAATCTTGGGCTATTATTGCATCCACTGACTCCAATGTCAGGGTTATTATTGTGTGCACTGACACCAATGCTGGGGGTTATTTATTGCGTGCACTGACACCAATGCTGGGGGTTATTATTGCATACACCAACACCAATGCTGAGAGTTATTATTGCACTCATAGACACCAATGTTGGGGGGTTATTTTTGCATCCACTGACACCAATGGTGGAGGTTATTATCGCGGCCTCTGGCACCCATGCTGGTGGGGGGGGGCTATAATTTTGCATCCACTGACACCAGTGTTGGGGGTTATTATTGCATTCACTGACACCAATGTCAGGGTTATTATTGCGTCCTCTGGCACCAATGTGGGGGGTTATTATTGTGTCCACTGACACCCCATCTGGAGAGCTATAATTTTCCGTCTACTGACACCAATGTTGGGGCCTATTATTGTGTCCACTGACACCAATGTTGGGGGTTATTTTACTCCAGCTACAAAACATATAGCAGTACTGAACTTTTCAGACACAGGTGTGCATCATTGCCCATTTCATTTTGCATGGGCTGCCAAATCCCACCTCTGCACTTAAAAGCATTCACAGCACCAAGATTGATGTTTTTGAATGGTTTCATTTTTTTTAAAGATGGCGCCGAGAGTTTCCGAGTAAACAGGAAGTGATGTCAGGTCATGGCTTCCGGTTTATTATAGGGAAAGCCAATCAAAGTCGGTGGGACGGGAGACCACGAGAGCACAGTGGAAGCGGCAGGAGAGGGAACACCCCACCCACTGCTACTTGTACAAGTAATCCAATCCAGAGACTTTCTTTCCTGGGAGAATCCAGGGGTGTCACCAGAACTAGTGTCCCCGCTGGAAGATTTCCCCACTTCCTGCTCTGAGGAGAGCCCAATATTTGGGGTTTTCTTTGCCTTCCACTTTGAATGGTAAACAGGACACATGTAGAGGATGAATGTCCCTAATGGGGGGCACAGATGGCAATGACAGGGGTCTAATCCCTCCCCACTCCATACACAACTAGGAATATCAAAGGTTAGCCTTCAGTTATACTGTAACGATGCCCCTGGATCATTTCTGACGGGAGCCGCCATTTTCTTTCCATCCCCAGGTCTCCTCAATAGTAAGAGCTGAGCCCACACTACAGAAAGGCCGGATTTTATGGTAGAGTAGTGAGGACACGCCCCCTCCCCTTTCCCTCCCTTCTTTTTCCGCCAAAACCCCCCCCCCCCCCCCCCCCGGTATGTGTTGTGAGTGAAGGTGTGAGGTAAACTTTGGCGCGGAATCTCTATTCAAATCAACTAGGAAGTCCGGACAGCCGGCGGCCAATCAGACACACGAACTGCACACAGAGATCCCGCCCCGCCTCTGACTGACATCTTCAATGCACCAGTCGCCGGACTGCCTTTGGCACCGACCTACCAATCCGCGGGCACACCGTGGAGCGTTCCACAGATAGCAGCCTTCGGGGGGAAAACTCTTAATGGGGATAAAACATAGGTTTGTGTAAAGCGGGTCCCACGCCGAGCGCTGTGTGCCACACAAGAGAGGGGATTTTACAGACAGCGGAGAGGGAAGGAGAAGGTGTGGGTGTTGGGGGGGGGGGGCGGTGGGTGTGGTTTTCGTGGCGGAAGCACCCCTCCCTTCGGGCTGTGGGCCGGTCCAGCGGCGGGAGTCCGGTTAAGGGTTTTGGTTTCTGGCGCGCTTGTCTCAGTAGGAAGGAGAGCGGAGAGAGAAGAAGAGAGCGGGCTATAGTCATCATGTCTCATCACTGGAGCAGCCGCACTGAGGAACGGAGGTAATATATCGGGTCCACCGAGTCACCACCTTGTCACCGTACCGCGGGAGCCCGGGTAGTGCACCGGGGCCTGCTGCTGGGAGCAGAGGCCTGTTCTCCAACACGGGCAGATCACACCTGTGTCCCATCTATTATTGTTGGGTAACACGACTTCTGGTGGACGGGGCACTCTCCTTCCTGAGCCCAGGGGTTGGTGGAGGGTTGCTGAGGAGAGATGACCCACACTGGGGGGGATCTGACTGTGTTGGTGGGCTGCTCTGCTGACTGGACTTCATGTTCTCTGTGCAGTGTGATATCGGGGTGCTGAGAATAGGTCAGCTCCAGGGTAGGCCCCCTCCTATTGCCTGAAGTGTCCTTGCAGAATAGTCACCACTTCTGTTTTTATTAACTAGATCATCGTCTGTTCCCCTTCCCCCCTCCCTTGTGTCTTCCTGTGATATATAGACCCCCCCCCCCAAAAAAAATCCTCCTGCTAGATGGACTTCATGTTTATTTACCATGTGAAATCTGAATGCTGTGAGTAGCCCAACTCCAGGACAGGCACCCTCCAGTTGCTGGAAGCTTCTTTGCACGATAGTTGGATCCCCTTGTTCTGTTTGATAACTAGGCCCTACTTGTGTTAACTGCCCCCCTTCACCTTTTCTTCCTCCTGGTAGAAGGACTTTATCTTTTCTTTACAGTGTGAAATCCTAGATGCGGAGAATAGTCCAGCTGCAAGATAGGCAACCTCCAGTTGCCTGAGACTTCCTAGCAAAATTATTTTGTACGTTACCTAGTCCCCCTCCATGTCCTCCTGTGATGATTGGATCCCCCTTGTGTGCTCATATCAAGACCTACTTTTGTTTTGTATAAGCAGATTCCCCCCCCCCCCCCCCTCCTCTTCCTCCTTTCCCTCCTGGGCTTCATATTCTCTTTACAGCGTGAAAGCTGGGTCCTGTGATAACCAAATTGAAACACATTTCATCTCAAAAATCTCGTATCAACCCAAACCCCCAAGAGTGTCTTTGCTGTGTGAAATTTTCTTAATCGTGATATCTGAATGGTGAGAATAGTCCAACTGCAGGATAGGCACCCTCCGATTGCCTGAAACTATCCTGCAAGAAAGCTAATAGCCCCTCCATTATGTTCTTTTGATAACTAGATCCCCCTCTGTCCTCCTGTGCTGGCTGTATCCCACCTTGTGTCCTCATAGCTAGACCCCCTTTTGTGTTTGTATAAGCAGGCCCTGATCCCCTTCCTGTTTGGTGTTCTAAAATAACAGGTCCCCTTGGTGGCCTAGGATAACCGGACCCCCTCCCCTTGGTGGCCTAGGATAACCGGACCCCCTCCCCTTGGTGGCCTAGGATAACCGGACCCCCTCCCCTTGGTGGCCTAGGATAACCGGACCCCCCTCCCCTTGGTGGCCTAGGATAACCGGACCCCCCTCCCCTTGGTGGCCTAGGATAACCGGACCCCCCCTCCCCTTGGTGGCCTAGGATAACCGGACCCCCCTCCCTTGGTGGCCTAGGATAACCGGACCCCCCCCACCCCCCTTGGTGGCCTAGGATAACCGGACCCCCTCCCCTTGGTGGCCTAGGATAACCAAACCTCCCTCCCATGAGTCAGCCTCTATAGCTACAGATAATTTTTACCTTTTCTGTCCTGCCAGGAGTAGAGGCACTGTGAGCTTCCTAAGAGCTGGTCCACATGGGGGGCAGTAGAAGCAGGTGGTGAGTTGCTGTTTTATTGCATGCCACAAAAATGCAGCTGCTCTGTGCTGTACACATGGTGTGGTGTTTGGCAGGTGGTATCACCGCTGAGTGCAACCGTGATAATTTCAATGTGGGCTGCTGCTCAACAGGTGGGCCAAGGAGCTGAGGACTCAACTGCTAAACCTAATCTTTCCCCAAGAAGCTGAGGACTCCTGCCCCTAGTGTGTGGCGTTTGGTCAAGAAGCTGAGGACTCCTGTCCCTAGTGTGTGGTGTTTGGTCGAGAAGCTGAGGACTCCTGCCCCTAGTGTGTGGTGTTTTTGGTCGAGAAGCTGAGGACTCCTGTCCCTAGTGTGTGGTGATTGGTCGAGAAACTGAGGACTCCTGTCCCTAGTGTGTGGTGTTTGGTCGAGAAGCTGAGGACTCCTGTCCCTAGTGTGTGGTGATTGGTCGAGAAGCTGAGGACTCCTGTCCCTAGTGTGTGGTGTTTGGTCGAGAAGCTGAGGACTCCTGTCCCTAGTGTGTGGTGTTTGGTCAAGAAGCTGAGGACTCCTGCCCCTAGTGTGTGGTGTTTGGTCAAGAAGCTGAGGACTCCTGTCCCTAGTGTGTGGTGTTTGGTCGAGCAGCTGAGGACTCCTGTCCCTAATGTGTGGTGCTTGGTGAAGCGGTCCTGCCCCTAATGTGTGGTGATAGGTCAAGAAGTGGAGGACTCCTGCCCCCCCCCCCTTCCTAGGCCAAAAGGGGCTCAGGACTACCTGTTTCACCATGTGCTAGGCGGGGAAGGTGTAAACTCCTTGCCCTGTGTTGGCCATGTGGTTGTTGCCTCTCTGCCACTTCTTCCTGGGACAAAGGGCTTGGCTCTGAGCCTTTGATGGCCTAAGGGGGCTGAGGACTTGTGGTAGTGGCTTTGGGTGGTTCCTTGGCATCATTTTTATTTTGCCTTGTGTGGCAGCGCCTTGTCAAGTACCAGTGCTGTCATACAGAGAGGAGTTATGTGCTCCCTGTACATGTGAGTAATGGGGATCTCCCATCCCCCCCACAGGTGTGGACAGTATGTGTACAACTGGTGGTTTTGCTGCTGTTGTGATCCTGTTGCTTTCCCTACCATGGGGCATACTAAGATTTAAGCCAGCTGTAGATGGATTGAATTGGGTACAGTCAGCCTGCTCATCCATCCATCGACTTGGGTACAACCAGAATGTCAGATTTTTAGCATGTAGTTATTGCCAACGGCTGTAGCCTCTAGCAATAATCATTGTGTTCTTCTGGCAGGGATGGTTCCCTCCTGTCTGGAGAACACAATGGCTCCCTGGCAGGGATTCCCCCACAACACTGACTGTTGCTGGGGAGGGGATCGTGCGATTCTTTCCTGCAACCTGTGATGGCAGGAAAGAAAATCACAATCTTTGGCCTGCCTTACTTTGGAGGGTGGTGATGGGGGAAGGGTGGTGATGCCTTTAGTTGCCCCCTTTTCAAAACCGTAAGGCCTCCCCCTCCCGCAAGCTGTGCTGCCCCCCCCATAGCTGACATCTCCTTGGCCAGCTGCTCACTTCCTCTACATTGTCCTCTGATTTGGGGTCATCTTTTGTCTGAGACTCTCCTAACCTCCCCTTCCAGAGAAAAGGGAACTCGCCACCCTAACCACGCTTCAGCCAAAAAAGATCTTGTAGATCTCTGCACATGCGGTCTATGGCTATCCGTGTGACCGTATACCAGACACTAGACAAGTCTGTGGTTTTTAAACATCTTTACAAAGTGGATGGAGGCAACCTCCCATAGGCAGCTTCTGTCTGAAGTGTGAAATGCTGGTAGATTGTCTTGGTCTAGTCAATCATACTTGTTGGATATTTCTGCTTGCACAGTATAAGCCTTGTGTATGGTGCTTTATAGATTTACAATACAAGCCCATTCAGAGGGTATTGCTGCTGCAAGCGGGATCCTGGATTTACTGCAAATCTGAGAGTTGCTGCATCTCTGACCTGCAAAGTGGGTGGATGTACGTTTAGTTATTGTCTGCAGTGTTGGCTATTGGTATACCTTGCACTGTATTAGGCGTTCGAAACTCTGCTGCACTGTACAGTGAAATCTGCAGTCCTTTGTGGGCAACATCCATCTTCAACAAGTGAGGTTACAGGATAAGCCACCTAGAGGCTTTTTCAGTAAAGCAGTAGAGGCCTGTGCTGTCCTGCCGAGGACTGATGAGAGGAGCGTGCCTGCATTTACATACCAACCCCAGGTCTGCATGCAGGTATAGACCTACCATTATGGCTGGAGGAAGGAAGCAATGGAATACAATAGGGATGCACAGAAATTTTGGTGCCCGAAATGTTTTGGCAGAAATGAAGAGCACCGAAAAACCCGCAGTTGCCGTCGGTAGTTCTCAGCCATCAATCCCAGCGCTGGGCATAGAGATAAATGAAGGAAAGATGGCCGCCACTCATCTCTATGCCCTTGGAGGACTGGACCGTTGTCACTTCCCGTTCCGGCCATTTTTTTTTTTTTTCTTTCTTTTTCAAAGCACTAGATCAGTGTTTTTTTGATCCAGTACTTTACATTGTAGAGGAGAGATGTGGGGTCTTTGTGACTCCATATCTCTCCATAAAGAGGACCTGTCACAAATTTGTATCACAAGTGATGCATGCATTTTCTTGTGCTGAGAATAAGTGATTAAAACATTTTTTTTAAAGGGACAGTGCAAAACAATAAAAGAGAAAAATAAGGAAAGTGCCCCTGTGCTCACACATAGTAGTGAACGCATACATAGGCCATGCCCACATATGTAAATGGTGTTCAAACCACTCACGTGGTGTATCGCCACGAAACGTCTGAGCAAGAGCAAAAAATATTAACACTAAAAAAAGCAGGCAGACTTGATGGCCCACTCAGTTTTTTTTCTCTCAGCTGTCACTTTTCTATGTTTCTATAGCGCTAGTTTCAAAACAGGCGTGTTCAGGGATCAGAATCCTGTTTCTTGGGAGGAGATGGCAGTTTTGAGGGTGGAGTGGCAAAAAAAAAACAATTCTTGCTCGGTGCCGGAAGTACATGTCCCAGGCGTGGGGCGATGGGAATTGAACATCCCTGAAGTGGCACATAAGCAGCTATAAAATATGGGTGGCTGCAGCAGGTTTCTACGTAAGTTTAAAACCAGATAGTACTTTATATGCTGTTACAGCAACAATTTCCTTTTATGAAAAAAAAAAAAAAGCTGGTCAGTGTAAATACCCCCAGTCAGTAGTAAATAGTTTTGCTCATCCCTGTAACTACTACTACATCAGGAGAGCTTTTTCTTTTGAAAAACAGGCTTACCCTAG